TGAACTCCCCCTCCAAGTTCTTCTTCATCTCCAGCTTCATTCTGCAAGAGAAATATGTGTCAGGAGGAGAATTCACTCGCCCACCCACCTATCATCGACTTACTTTAGGACACTGATCTCGCTGGTTTTCAGCTTCAGATTGCTGTTGTCGCGGTTCAGCTCATCGATGCGCTGCTGCATGGAAATGATCTTGTTCTCGAGGCCCATGTACTTATTCGCCATGTGCGATATGGTCTTGGCCTCGGCCTTCATGCGCTTAAACTTGCGCCGGGCCAAAAAGCGACGCACCGCCGCCTGGCAGATGATGATGTTGCGCCGCTTGTGTTGGTAGGCGCGTCGCGCCAGCACGCCACGTACGAAACGCTGGATCTGCACGGCCCGATAGTGATCGCGCAGGGCGTAAAACTTGCTGCGGGCCATCATGCCGCGAGCGTAGGTCTGTATGCCTGCAATAGAGTGCCGCAGGCGCAGATAGCGACGCCGGCACAGCCATCCCTTGGCGTATTTCGAGAGTATAAGGGCGGCTCGAACCTCACGCATCTTCTGGACGCGATCGCGGGCCATGAATCCCCGAGCATACCGCTGTATGCCGCAGATCACCATCTTCAGCCTCAGGTAGCGTCGACGATGGATAAAACGACGCACCACCGCCTGCACAATCGTGATGTACTTCTTGCGCAGATTGGCCCGCACCTGCTCGAGGAAGGCCACCTGGCCGGCGCGGAAGAATATCTGTGTGTTGCCAAACCGACTCTTGTCCTCGTCCTCGATCCACTTGTACACAATGTTGCGGCACGACTGCTTCAGGTCGTTCTTGTCTATCTTCGAGCGATGCGCCAGCAGCTGGTAGCGCATATAGAAGTCCGGATAGAGCCAGCGCGAGGGGAAGCCGGCGGCCGAAATGCGGACCGTTTCCAGCACACCGCAGGCCCTTAGCTGCTGGACGATCTTGGCTGTCTCCCACTTGAAGGCAATCTTCTCATCGTTCGGCTAAAGTACCACAAAGAAATGAATGATTATTGAGTGGTCTCTAGAAACTACTCTGGATTACTCACCTTGATGCAACGCACGTAATGGGGCGTGGTGGCATGCAGCGTGGATATAAGCGAGGCCAGACTCTCCTGGAACTGTGAGCCAACGGTTTTCTTATGCTGCTTGGATGGCACCACCTAGTAATGAATAAAAGTGCATCAATATGGGCTGAATTGAAAGGAGTAAAACACACACACACACACAGAGTACACCCCACCACCAAGGCAAGGGCTGGCTAACAATAAAATGTATGGTTTACTTCGCTTTGAAAAAGGATTATTTCGATTGCAAAGCGATTTGAATGGTTGGCAAGTGTTTCGGAACAGTTTTCCGTGTGACTGGTAATTCAATTAATTCTAAATCATTGCCTGGCATTCAAATACAAAGCGCCAAAACCCGGGTTATTCTAAATCGAATTAAATGTTTTTTTGTGGGTTGTTAGTCTTTTGCTGGGAACATTAATACAAATACTTTTGGTAGCACTAACTCTTCGGCGGGTCTCATTGAGCTGCTGTTGGGCGTTCCAGGGACGTTGGTGGTGAACGACAAGCGTATGGAAAATACGAATTAGCAATAATCAAAGATGGGATAATCACTATGGACGTTTACAAATCAAATGGCACAGCATGTTGATGCTGATGCTGATCACAAACCTGCTTTCGGCCAGCGCTTATAACGACACGACCGCCCAATGTGGATGTTGTGTTGGCATCGACGCCGAGAGTGTCGATGTCCTCCAGGGCCATGACCTGCTTCACCAGCGACATGCTGGACATGGCCAGGACAGAGGTGAGTTCCTTGGAAACAGTGTCGCGATTCTTCTCCAGGAATCCGTACACGTCATACTCCACGGTATCCGAAAAGTGTTTGATGAAGAAACCTTTGACGAAATGAGAATGAGATTGAAATTAAATGGAACTATGAGAACACTCACTTGTGGTGCCAAAGCGGGGCTTCTCAAAGTGCGGGAATTTGCTGCACTTGGCGATGAGTTTGCCGGCCCAACTCTCGTCGGAACCTTTGGGCATCTGAGGGAGATTCATTCATTGATTGTACATTTGATTTGAAAACCATTTGGGCAGCCAAATGTATATCCTGTAAGGGTAATGCAATTCTTACCCTACATTCCTCGTCGAGAAGATCGAGTACACCCAGACGGGACTCGATCAAATCGATGCACGGCTGATTGTCATAGAAGTCGATCATCGTCCAGGTAATACCCTCCTTGAGGTACTCCTCCTGTTCCAGCTTGAAGACGTGCTGGTTAAACTGCTGCTGGAGCTTCTCGTTTGCATAGTTTATGCAAAACTGTTCAAACGAGTTCACCTCAAACGTTTCAAAGCCGTAGATATCGAGCACGCCAATGAAGCTGCACTGCTTGCTACCGTTGTTGAGGCTCTTGTTAAGCACACCGCCGATATACTGAAACAGTTTGGCGTATATGTGCTTGGCCAGCGCATCGCGCGCCGCCTGCCCGGCCTCAACGCTGTTCGGTATCAGCACATGTTCATTGACCGACTCTATCTGACGCATTACGAGCCAGCGGCGGAGATCTTCCGTCTTCACCCGCAGCAGATCCCCAGTGATCTGCAGATGAATATCGTTGTGCTGCGCAAAGAAAAATGATGGCCATGAGGCGTGAGCTGTTTCTCATTTTACGTCAAGTGCCGCTACGAGGGCCGCTTACGGATATTTCACAGGAGTCGGAGTCCTCCTCATCGCCGCCCTCGGTGTACTTCTTGGCCACCTCAATGTTTCCCAGATGCAGGATTCCAGCCAGGATCTTCACAATCTCCGCTATCTGCTGGAATGAGAACCCCAGCACTGTCATGGCCTGGGCAGTCTCGTTAAACTGATCGGCATCCGAGACCCGTTCGATGTCCGGGGCACCACCCATGTTCAGAAACTGAAACTTGTCCTGGTGGTCTGTGGCGGGAAGAGGAGTCAAGTCAATCAGCGGAGTCTGTCAGAGGAGATCTCGCCACTTACCCAGCAACAGTTCAGGGTACTTGGCCCGCGCCGCACATAGCTGGTAGAAGATGTGATAGTTTCGCTCCCCCTGGGCCTGGTAGACCACGCGCGACTTCTCCAGGAGATAGGTGTGCACGGTGGCGCCCTGCAGGTACATCACACCCATCTGGTTCTTGAAGAGCAGCTTGGTGAACTTGCCAAAGCGTGAGCTGTTGTCGTTCCGCGTGGTCTTTGCATTGCCGAAGGCCTCCATGATCGGCGAAGATGCCAGCACCTTGCGCTCGACCTGCGTCTCAGACTCTGAGCCGCCGACGGCGGCGAAGTAGCGCATGGCGTACTTAGCGGAAACTGTCTTGCCTGCCCCCGACTCGCCGCTGACAATGATGCTCAGGTTGCAGTTCTCCCGCTCCAGCTTCGTGTAGGCCTCCTCGGCCAGGGCAAAGATATGCGGCTCCAGATCCCCCATGGACTGACCGCGATAGGCTCGGATTATACTGGGCCCATACAGTGGCATCTCCGCGTACGGATTGATGGCCACCAGTATGATGCCGCAGTAGGTGTAGATAATCTGGCGCTCGCAGAAGCGAACGCGCAGATTGTACAACACCCCGGGCTCATGCAGGTACGAGAGGGTTGTGAGATCATTTTGGCCAACTAGAATGGCCGGATTGCGCAGCGGGGGCAGGTTGCTTCCATCGGACTTTAGTTTGAACTCCTTGAGGCTGCCCGATTCAGTGCAGATCTTCAGGAAGCCCGCTCCCTTGTGGTAGCTCTCCTCCAAGGTGGCGCTCTCCCACACCTGTTCCGCATGGGTCACCCAGATCTTGGCCCCCTGCAGAAAGAGAATGTAGAATTAAGCATGTTCATGAACAGGTTTTCTTCCTCCTGGCTTCATCTTCATCCACTGCGTCATCTGTCTACCTGTGCCTGTATACAGAGCTCTGTTTGTGTGCAATTATCGACGCTTATCAGAGAGACTCGATTGATAAGACGCGTGATTCACTACCAAATATTTCTATGCGGTGCAGTCATTGACTGGGTGACATCAATACCATACTTCATCACCTGTCATGGAAAGGGCTAATAGAGCAAGAACACACACTGCTTGTAGAATGAAGAAATGTGAAAAACGAAAATGGCGCAAACACACGAGAGAGAACACACACACAAACACAAAACACACTGGCAGAACGGAATTCACGTTATGTATGCATTTTTATTAGCCCCCCCATTCTTGGCACTATTGGCGTCCTAAACCGATACCGACACCGCCGCAATTTGCCAACAATGCACTTGTAGGGCATCAATATAATTTGCGGAATGGAATACCTTTGCATATAGCATCTCCTCGCTTGACATGGTTCCGTTACGTTCTCCTCTGCACTAATCACAAATCCACAGCACAGCACTGATTTCGTCGTGCATAAAAACCCGTTAGCTTTATCAGGCTGAAGCTGGCAATGCGCTGGATATGGATGATATATTATGATGTGTGGCTCCTTGTGATTACAATTGGATTCTAGTTCAAACCAACACTTTGAGTGCACACGACGTTCAGATGACCATGTTTAGGTTTGCCTCTTCTCTTAGGTATCTTAATTTTGCAGCCGAAACTTAATTTTAAAATTTTGTGTAGTAAACGAACTACATTGGTAATTTAACGATAACGAAAATAAATAAGAAAAGCAAATAGAATTTGCCACCCGTCTACTTGGCTGACAATGTGTTGTTGTTGTTGTTGCTCATGCCAAAAGGGCAGTGTTGGCAAAGGGCGTGCGGCTCTCAACTGCATTAACATTTAATTTAATTTGCCTTGATACGCGTGGAATATTTCGTGTGGACTTTTAAATGTTTTATTTAATTGCGTGCCCACTTTATATTTGATGTGGAAACGGAATGAGGACGAACACAAATGTGGCGCGAAAAGGAATTTGCCTACGTTGCTCAACACAACCATACGTACCACAATGTATTTGCCAGCACTATGCACAGCTGCGTCTGTCAATTTTTCCCGCGCTTTAATCGAGAAGAACCAGCGAGGCATCTCACAAAAAAAAAATATTAAAACCAACTCTTAATTCAGTGTTTAAACAACAGAAAATAAAAAGCAACTAAATCTGAAATGTCAAGTCCCGCTCGATCGCCCAGTGTCGGTTCTGCTACCCCAAAGCAAGCTGCGGGAGCCCGAACACCAACCAGAGGTAAATAGAGCAGCCCAGCCGACCATAAATGCTTATTCCTGTCAATTGCAGGCATTGCAACGCAGGATGTGGAGACGCCCATGCGAATGGGTCCTGGCCGTGCAGCCAGGCCATCGGACAACATCAGTTTGCCACCCACATCGCCGGGAAATATTAGCCTGCCTGCAACGAGCCCAGCGCGCGGTCTCGGAGTCAACATGAGTGAGATCGACCTGAGTTCACCCCTCAACTACGGCACGCCCAGCTCCATGGGCTCCATTCGCACGCCCCGGTCGGGCATTCGCGGTACTCCGCTGCGTGCTCGTCCCGATATCCGGACAGACAAGCGAATTCGTCAAGTGGCCATTGGTGGCGGCTCTGGTGTGAGTAGAGATCTAATTTCTGTGAATCTTATCCAACTCTACCTTCATTGCAGCTGGAACCAATACCCGAAAAGGGCTCAGAGACTACAGATCCCGTCTCGGAGTCTTCGCAAGCTCCCCAGCTAGTCGTCTGGGGCACCAATGTGGTTGTGAGCCAGTGCAAGTCAAAGTTCAAGTCGTTCATCATGCGCTTTATCGATCCGACCGCCGAGCAGGATGAAATCTCGGAGAACATTGATGTCAATCAGCCGCTCTATCTGCAAAAACTCGAGGAGATTCACACACTGGAGGAGCCGTATCTGAATTTGAACAGTGCCCATCTAAAGACCTTTGATCAGGACTTGTACCGCCAGCTGATCTGTTATCCTCAGGAGGTGATTCCCGGCTTCGACATGGCCATCAATGAGATGTTCTTCGAACGGTATCCGGCCGCCCTGCTGGAGCACCAGATACAGGTGCGTCCCTTCAATGCCGACAAGACGCGCAATATGCGCTCCCTCAATCCCGAGGACATGGATCAGTTGATCAGTATTTGCGGCATGGTCATCCGATCCTCGAACATCATACCGGAAATGCGCGAAGCCTTCTTCAGCTGCAACATCTGCTCCTTCAGCACCACCGTCGAGGTGGATCGCGGTCGCATTTCGCAGCCAACGTTGTGCACCAACTGCAACACCAATCACTGCTTCCGTCTCATCCACAATCGGTCCGAGTTTACGGACAAGCAGCTCATCAAGCTGCAGGAATCGCCCGACGACATGGCTGCTGGTCAGACGCCCCACAACGTCCTTCTCTATGCCCACAACGATCTCGTCGACAAGGTCCAGCCCGGCGATCGTGTCACAGTGACTGGTATCTATCGTGCCACGCCCCTCAAGGGCAGTGGCCAGCAAGTGAAGAGCGTGTACAAGACCCACGTCGATGTTGTGCACTTCCGTAAAGTGGACAACAAGCGTCTGTACGAGGATGAGGAAGGGTAGGCTGCATAATTTTTCAACTGCAATTGACACATTTTATGTAAACTAAACTCCTTTGCAGGAAGGATCACATTTTCCCGCCAGAGCGCGTTGAGCTGCTGCAGTTGCTGGCCAAGAAACCGGATATTTACGATCGGCTGGCCAGGGCCATCGCCCCCTCCATTTATGAGAACGACGACATCAAGAAGGGAGTCCTCCTGCAGCTGTTCGGTGGCACCAAGAAGAAACACGCGACCCTGGGACGCCAGAACTTTAGGTCGGAGATCCACTTGCTGCTCTGCGGTGATCCGGGCACATCAAAGTCTCAAATGCTGCAGTACGTCTACAATCTAGTGCCGCGCTCGCAGTACACCTCGGGACGGGGCTCTTCGGCCGTCGGCCTAACCGCCTATGTGACCAAGGATCCAGAAACACGCCAGCTTGTTCTGCAGACGTAAATATCCTTTATCCCTGGGCCAGACCCCTTATGAACTCTAAATTTTTGTTGCAGGGGTGCTCTGGTGCTGGCCGACAACGGTGTCTGTTGCATCGATGAGTTCGACAAAATGAACGATTCGACGCGCAGTGTTCTCCACGAGGTAATGGAGCAGCAGACGCTGAGCATTGCCAAGGCAGGAATCATCTGTCAGCTGAATGCACGCACCTCGATACTCGCAGCTGCCAATCCCGCCGAGTCGCAGTGGAACAAGCGCAAGAACATCATCGACAACGTACAGTTGCCACACACCCTGCTCTCGCGGTTCGATCTGATTTTCTTGGTGCTGGACCCACAGGACGAGATATTCGACAAGCGTTTGGCCAGCCATTTGGTCTCGCTCTACTACGTCACCAGGCACGAGGAGGAGGATACCATGTTTGACATGAGTGTTCTGCGCGATTACATTGCCTATGCCCGCGAGCATTTGGCCCCCACTCTGTCGGACGAGGCCCAGCAGCGCCTGATCCAAGCCTACGTCGATATGCGCAAGGTTGGTGCTGGACGTGGCCAGATCTCGGCCTACCCTCGCCAGTTGGAGAGCCTAATACGGCTGTCCGAAGCGCACGCCAAGGTACGGCTCAGCAACGAGGTTGAGTTGTTGGATGTCGAGGAGGCCTGGCGACTCCATCGCGAGGCCCTGAAGCAATCAGCGACGGATCCCCTCTCTGGCAAAATCGACGTCGGCATATTGACCACTGGTCTCTCTACGGCTGCGCGCAAGAAGCGCGCAGATCTGGTGGCAGCCATTAAGGAGAACTTGAAAAAGAAGGGCAAAGTTCCCACAGTTCCCTATCAAAAACTATTCAAGGAGATAAAGGAGGGCTCCCAAATTGTAAGCGCGCATCCTAAGCCACTTGTTGATTGGTTCTGCTATAATAATTTCCATTCCTTTCAGTTAATCACGCGCGAACAGTTTGAGGATGCCCTGAAGGAAGTGCAGGATGAAGGCGCCATTGTTGTTATGGGAAAAAATACAATTCGCATATGTTAATTTAATTTCGGCTGATGCCAACCGCTCATTCATTCCCATCATCTTTACAAAATCATTTTAAAATACAAAAATAAAAAGTACAAGAATTCAAAGTATCTTTGGCCATCAAAATACCGAACGTGCAAAAAATACCGTCCACATAATACCCTGTTTTCACTACTGACTATTGACATTGTTTTGTCGATATCTTACGTCTGCCATCACTAATTTTGCGTTTTTTCTCATGCTTTCTCTTTCTGGCAAAGTGGAATTACATCCGTTTCGATATCGATAGCAAACGTAAACAGTGTAGCTGGACTGTTGCAGTGTGACCAGAGGCTGCCAATGCAATGCCAAACAAGCAGCAGAGCAGAGGCATTCAATTCAACAGAAAGGTAAAATAAGTAACTTTGGAATGGAGATGGAGTGTGGCAAGTCGTCAGAGCATTCGTCGCATAGTGCCTCCGAGGCATCGGCGGACTCCGGGAGCCTGCTGAACAGTGATCTCACAGTGGCGGGGCGCGAGTTTACACTAACGCCCACCAAGCGGGAACGGCGCAAATCGCCAGCCACTAGCTCTGATAACACCAGCACCAGCGTACAGGCTCCAATGTCGCCCACATCCTCGCTGGCGGACACAACGTTCGAGCCCACCATTGACATGATGGTGAATGACTTTGACGACGAGGCCACATTGAACGAAGAAGAGGCGCTGGCCAATTTGGAGTCGCATAATCCGGACGACGAGATTGCTACGCTCAGGGAGGAGAGCGAAATGCCCATTGAGGAGTTATTGGCTAAATACAGCATGGCAGCCTCGCCGGCTACCAGCAGCTCGAAACGGTCGAGCGGCGGATCAAGGCGGCGACGAGCCACCAAGCGGCAGTACCAGGAGCTAGACACAGAAACTGCTTATGCATCCACATCATGCGCCGCCGCAGCACAGCAGGAGAAGGTCGATGATTTTCTTAAGCAGCCGCAGGAGCCAGGTGCTGGCTGGCGCTGGCCCCTCGGAAGAGAACGCATCGCCCAGCGCTCAGCGCAATAAGAGTCCCATGGAGACAGATGAAGCGCAGGCTATTTTGTCGCCTGATGTCACAAAGAAACAGCATCGCTCCCACCTACTGGATCTGTATCCAGATGAGTCCTTTGGGGAAAGTCCGCCACTGGTCGGACCCCTGGAGGAGCTTGAAAGATGTAAGTTTCGGAATTCGGCTGCGGTCTAATTGCTTGATCGAAGTTTTCATTATGTAATGTATTCATTTCAGTCACGCCGCTTCAGGCGCTCTTTGAAGAAGTAGAGGTCGATGACGAGGAAGAGTCGGATAATGAATCTGATGACGCGAGGAAGATTATCATGGTTGGAGCTGATTTCCAAGCTGACATTCCCGAGGGTCTCTCGCAGTATGGCGACATATTGCCGTACGAAAATGAGGATCTGTTAATCTGGGAGCCGAGCCAAGTCTCAGAGCGGGAAGTGGAGGAATATTTGGCAAAGATCCAAGAGACCCGAGCCTTGCCACCGCTAGAAGAGGGCGCTGAAGTTGTGGCAAGTGACGAGCAGCCCGTAGCTCTTCCCGCCCCGTTAGCTCCGCCAAGAGTCCAGCCAGCGCCAAATGCTGCCAGCGACGGAGAGACAACGTCCGTGGTAAAGGACAACGAGCAGGCCCTGCATTTACTGGTCCAGTGTGGCTATGACTTCAATGAGGCCCTGCGGCGCAAGCGATTGAATGTGCTGCCCCTGAGCGACACCATGAGCAGCTGGTCCGAGGAGGAATGCCTCAAGTTCGAGGAGGGCATACATAAGTACGGCAAGGACTTTTATCAGATACGCCAGAACCAGGTAAAGGACTGCTCACCGTCTCCTAGCGATTAATTAGTGGGATGGTTGGGGTCTTTCAGGTGCGCACAAGAACCATGCGCGAACTGGTCCAGTTCTATTACCTGTGGAAGAAGAGCGAGCGTCGAGATCAGAGCTTTGCCCTGAACGACACCATCGATCACATGGATGCATTCCTTAACGAAGCGGGCACTGGCAGTGGAAACGGCAATGGCAATGGAAACGGGAATGGGAACAGCAACGGTAGCTGCTCTCCACACAGCAGCAACGGCCACAGCAATGGGGACTACGCTTTGGATAGGGACACCACTACCACTACTTGCTCGTCGCGAAAGCCCTCGACGAAGAGCTACTCCATTATGACTGGCGGCCAACCCCAACCAGCAGGCGGTGCTGGCGGGACGAGTAGCAAGCGTGGAACGCCCGCACCCATGACCCTGGAAGACGGAGAAGAAAATGAGGAGGAAGCAAACCAGGTTACCATCTAAGGGAAATATGTACATAAGCAGAAAGGGTAGAAAGGTCTAAGGAAAATCGGCAGCTACCGTAGGAACTGGCTCCGACATCATTACTATCTTTGAGCGCAGGCGCTTTCGACTGGGACAGGCAGGGCAGTGCAGGGCAGGGCAGGCGTAGTATTAAGCAAAAAGGTGATTGTTTACCTTTCCATTATCGTTCACTAAAAATGTACATGCATCCAGTACGTTTAGGATACAATGGTATATCTAAACATATATTATTCCAGATTCTTAAATCGATATTTCTCATAACTATTAATGAATTTCATAATCTTAAGCATATGAATGTCTATTTGTTACAAGTCCCAGTAGATTCCGGAATCCGAGTACTTATGGCTTATTAAATATATGTATGTATGTATGTATACAATATTTGTATTTTCGCTCAATCCTTAAGTTTCGTTGAATGTTTCAATAAATGTAATCTAAATTTCTATGAATAATATGTATGTATACATTATTACAGACACAGATGACAGAGACGCAGACGGCGGCAATTGAATGCATTTTACAATTTAACATCTTCAAACTACCAGCTTTAAGTTTGTAGCCCAAGTATCTTAGTTTTCTAGACTATCTATCATCCTGACACACAATCAAAAAAAAAATACTGATCTAATGAAGACCAGCGATGATCAGATTGATACCATAAATTATTATAATATAATAATTTATAATTTATTAGCCATAAAATTGCGGCCACTTGTCTGTCGTTTGTCAACCACAAATTTAAGTGCTGGTTGCAATCATCAGAGTAGGCCCTGACATATGTATATGACATATAGTTGAATCAATATATTAGAATTTCACTTCCATTCCAAACGTTCAACAATGAATACCTTGTCAGTGCAAATTTTTAACAAGCAAGAGGACCAGCTCTTTACAAATGCCAAAAATTCATGCCCGCATGTTTTTGAGGCCGCTTTGTCCCACATAGAGCGGCCGAAGCTCCTATCTACTCCTTAATTATTAGAAGCCCAGATCCGTCGGATTGGTGATGGGGAGGAAGACCATGAAGGCCGTAATTTTTAAAGTGCTGGAAGTTTGCTTGAAGTTCGCCACCAACGACACATTGGAGGAGCGTGGATCGACCTTTAAGAGCCATCTCCCCGCACTGGTGAAGGAGCTTAATGGGTTAAACGTCGAGATCATGGCACGAGACCATCCGCATCCGTCTGCCATTCTCATTATGTCCAGATTTGTGGCGATGTTGGTTGAACTGACCCGCCGAAGCAAGCCCGCGACACTTTAGCAGGTAAATAATTTGTGTATATATAAACATATCTATAAATATAAATAAATATATTATGAATTTATTTTTCAGGCGGCAGTGCAGTAGGATTTTGACGGTTGAGGATTAGGCCTCTTGGGGACACCACTTTAAAAAAGTGGTTTGGCTCGCAAACTGGTCGTCGAAATGGTCAATTACGGTATTAAATTGCAAGCAGACTGGAGGTGAAATGAAATTCTTCGAGGATCATATGTCAGGCTGAAACATAACCAAAAAGCCAGAGAACAAAAAAAAAACCCAGTCGCCAATTGCCATATTTGCTTCACTTGCATTTTCGCTAGCAGCTAGCACGAAAAGAAGAGCCGAACCCCAAAACGTACGTACACACACACACACACACACACACACACACACAACAGGCAATGAGGACGGACAGACAGAGAACGGCGGCACCAAATGGAGATACTACTCGTACCCGTCCCGTCCCAGTGCCCAGGCTCACGATCGTACAAACCGAAGATGGGGCTTTCGTCTCAGTATACGAGCATGTACATTCTTGTGTGTGGCGTTATTCTCTCTTTTTCCGACAGCGCGCTTCGCTCCGTAGCGTGGAATATTTTACGTTCACTCCATCTCCATTTCCATGCAGTCCAGCCGACCGTAGTAAAATCCAGTTTTGATAAAAATAAACAAAGCGCAACAAGTACACTACACTCCGCATTGTAAGCATATAAGACAGCATAAAAAGGACTGTTGAGCCCAATCAGAGTGTCCCAATCGTGGCAGGACTCTGCAGTGTCCACTTCTATCGATTTACATTGCTATTAGTTGTGTGCTGGATACAGTTTGGCTGGAGGTGATTGGCTTTGGCTGGGTGGAAGTCGACGGAGCAGAGCACATTGGATTCGATACGGCCCCACATCAGTGCATACGACAGCGCAGAGTTAACAACCGTAAAGCGCACAAATACGAGACGACGACTAGCGAGCTGCCAGCGGAAGCTTTACATCCGGACAATATTGCTGATGCCAGTTTGCAGCAAAGCCTGTTGCTGTGCGCCCGTTGTGCCTGTGCTCTCTTCTCGGTTTTCTTTGGACTCGCCTTCGCCATTGCCACTGCTTCGCATTGCCAGCGCCTGAGAGCCAAAAGGCACGTAAACTGGTTGGACCGTACCCGTATTTTTCAGTTTTCAGTGCTGTTTCAACGCTTGAGCTGCGTGCGTCGCTTTATTCGGACTCGACTCGTTGGTTGTATGGTGTATTTTGTGTTGCGGCGGCATTATGGAGGCAGCTTACAACAATGCGTCATCAGCTTCGACCTCGCCGCCCGCGTTCTCCGCCTCCTTCGCCTTCACGAACACCGCCAAGCTGCCAATTGAGACGGTGAAGCGTCTGATTGCCGCCGTCTCCCGCAGGCCCATGCTCTGGTTGCGAAACAACGTGAGTGGCCAAAAGCGCAGCGATATTACGCCAATTTGGTTTGAAGTTGGCCAGGATGTGAATTTGCCAGGTAAGAGAGAGAGAGAGGCGGAGAGCAATGCCCAGATGTGTGTATGTACATACACTCGTGCATGGCAATACATATCCATATGTATGCTGTACGAATGTAGCTTGATGTTTGGTGCTGCCCACACAGACATGCCAACTCGGTTTAATCACGATCGGCTTCGTTCCCTCTTTTCCCCCTTGGATTCCATTCAATGAGGTATTGAAACTACTCCCTCCCTCTCCTTTTTCTTAAAGCGGACATATGCCGGATCAAGTGGGGCCATCTGAGGGACAACTTTCGAAAGGTGTACATCCGCAACAATCTGTCCAACGAAACGCCCTCGACCTGGCGCTTCTACAATGACATGCGGTTCATGGAGCACGCCGTCCACGAGAACATCATGCGGCAGACACGCAGCAGCAGTAAGAAGCACCCGCCAGGACACTGGACGGAGAACAACAATATAATAGACGAGAAATATGACGGACCCGCCGTGGCCACTGAGCCAATTTGTGAGCTGAGCGATAGCTACGACTCGGAGCTGCATCAGCCAAGCTTCTCCGACATCAGTTCCTTTTTCGAGGACAGAGACTGCCTGCCGGCTCAGCCGCCGGACAGGAAGCGCATCAAACTGGAGCCCAGTCCCGCCGAGGAGGAGGATGACGACGACTTTGACGAGGATGCGGCCTCGGAGAACGAGGAGGAACGCACAAAGCGCAGCGAGGCTGTAAACACACCGGATCCGAGTCTGTTCACCATCGAAGTGCTGGACGACGATGAGGAGGAACTGGAGTTGTCCAGCTCCAATGTCAAATGCAAGACTAATGACACCTCCAACAATAGCCAGAGGAGCGAGCCCGATGTGAAACCGTCGCTATCCCAGTCCCAGTCCCCGACATCCGATTTACCCTTTAAGTACATCAGCATGGATGCAGCCACCAACACCGAGTCCTCACTGGCAGAGCAACAGGACGATGCCGACCGTATGTTTCTGCTCAGCCTGATGCCCTTCCTGCAGAAGCTGGACGAGCGGCGGAAGCTGCGTGTGCGCCAGAAGCTCCAGAATGTCCTCATCGAAGAGTTGGAGTTTGGCTAATCTTGGGCGGCCGGCCTTCGAATCCAATTAGCCTTTCTCTCTGTACATTTTAAGCTTAGCTTACAGTATTATAAGCACGCGACTGACTAACCCTGTGGATCTGCATTCATACTTAGCATGTAATCAGTAATCCTGCCTTCCTCTTAAGACACTTCACACAGATACATAATAAGTACATTTTATGTACTAAGTTTCATAGACCCGTATCATTTGTACTTTTACAGGCAAGCATAAAATAGACTTACAGCATAGCGATACATCTCGTCCAGCATAATTAATTTTGTGTCAGAGGATAACCTCAGGTTTTACCTGGCTTGCCCTGGCCTGGACGGTCCGGCCGCACCTGCGCAGGTAGCGACCTGCGTCCGCCGCCCGCAGTTCTCTGAAACATCGGGCTTAATTCGATAATAGTGCTGCAGCCAGGAACAGGAGGCTACAAATTTTTGTCAGTGCAAAACGAGTTCCTTAAGGGTGTTTGGGTATTCTCTCTGGTCTGCCCTCTGCCTCTGCCGGTGGTGTCTGTCTCCATCAGTCGTTTCCCGCCACACACATGCGCCGTTAATGCAAAGAGAATTCTCTCACTTTGCTTTACTCTCTCGCTCTCTACGAGTGCGTGCTCCATTCTGCGGCGACTACGACTTTGGAATGCCCTAACTCGAACATAAGCAAACATATATTGTATATTGAATACAGGAAAGGAAAGAATGGAATTTGTTTCTGCAACCAAAAAACGTCCGAGGAAATAATATGCGAAATATATACCTACTTGGAGTAGGTTTCGATTTTCTTTTGTGGGATAACTCATTTTACGCAACAGCCATACATATGTATACTTTTGTATAACTTTAGTAACAAATTTCATTCATATACCGCCTTTTTATAAACCAAGCGTCTAATGTAACATGCACAAACGGGACCACTTTTCGGCTATGCTCACCGAAAATGAAGCATATAACAAAAACAATAATGAGCACGCCAGAAGGGCAGCAGCGTCACTGCTTCGTCGGAGACAGAGTTTGCATCCAGTTTGAGCGTGAAGGTTGTAGATTTCGAGGAGTCCTAGTCCCTCGCCACGCTAAGTGGGTCAGAAGAAGCATTCGGAAAACTAAACAAAACCACGCGCAGCGAGCGGTTAAAACTTCAAGTGAAAAGCACGCACGCCAAAGTAATAGAAACAACAACGGACGCGCAAATTTTTAAATAAGAAAAGAAACATTTCTATATGATGTGGGCTGGTATACGGCTACACGAGGGTACTTACAACAGTAGTCGACCCAACTAGAAACTGGGCACAACAACTTAGTTCGGGAACAGTGTACTTAAATAGTTATTGAATTGAGCGTGATACACGCGTTTTTAAACGATAGCGATAGCATCGATATCCTGTTTTCGGTGTCGGATCTGAGAAAGTGAAATAATATTTGTTTGTGAGTGGAAAATCCCCATCTCCCAAGACTGACTTGGGAGCTGTGTGAAAAAGTAGAGACGGAAATGATGCACGAGTGATGAGAATTTCTCCCTGCTACATGCATCTCCACGAATATTATATACCCCTCTACTCCCACGAGTACCCTGTAGAAAAACAGACGCCATGATCCAATCGACTTCTTAAGGGTCCCGTCCCTAGCGGGAAGTTATTTGTAAGTTGATGTGACTGCTTCACAAAATAGATCCTCTTTTTGTTCCCTGTTGTTCAACTTCAAGCACTACCCTCTTGGATGTGGGGCGCATTTGGCTGCAGTTCTTTGCGGCATAAGTGAAAATAAATAGAAGATAAAAATGTGCACATGAGCATAAACCGATGAGAGAGAATGAGAGCGGGAGAGGCAGAGACCGAGCTGTGTGCGTCAGTGCTGACAATATTATTTGCGTTAAAATAAAGCTAGATTGAAAACGCTAAACAAAATGAATGACAATTTTTTATTTAAGCACGGTTCTTAGAGAGTATGCAGGCTCATAGCACAGCTAGAATAGAATTCAGGAATTGGTCAATTTGGAAATGGGACAGCCAATATCGAGAAGTCTCTTTTAATTTTTTGGGAACAAAGCTGTTCTGGCATCACTGGTGTGCGTGATGTGTTGAAAGCGAAAAAGAGCGTAAGAGAGGAATTGCGCGCGCACATCAAATCAAAAACTATCTGCGAGATACATTTGGGGTTTGTTTTATTTTATTTTTTGTTTAGCTAGATGAAGAGCAGCAGAGACAGAAGCAGAATCTGAATCGAAATCAGAATCAGAATAAGCAAAAGCAACAGAACAGAAAGAGCAGCACGCACTCGCAGAGAAGGAGAGAGGGAAACAGAGAGAGAGAGAGTCCAGCGCGCTGACACAGTATTTGTTGTGTTTTTAGTCGAATGTATCTTTTAGTCGGAAAAAGGAATACACGAATGTCGGAGCGAATGAATGTGCACGGGCAAGCGAATTACGCATAAGATCTCTGGGTGACTCGCTCGAAAAGCGACAGAATCTCGCACAACATAAAATCGCAAAGAATACCACGGAAAAATCGCGAATAAGAATCAATATTCTTCCCCGAATCGAATCAAAACTAATTTAAAAAGAATCTGGGAATCAGCGACGAGTCAGATTCGGTCTTGTCGGTTGTGTCGGGCCGGAGACGGAGACCCCATTGAAGGTGTGCAGTTCCGTTCCGTTCCACAGCGGCTTGCAGGCGGCTGCTGAAAAAGGTGTGTACGAATAACGCAGAAGAGTGGCGATAGATACAAAGTGGCAGGGAGGGAGGGTCATGTAAACTATCAACAGAATGATGTACAAACTATTGGCTTGCATTGTATAAAAATATTGATTTTAATTCGTCCAAATATCAATATTCTCAAGATTTCTCTCAGCTCGATGGGTTTTCAGTTTTCAGTTTTCGTTTTTGTGTATTTTCTGTTTTCAGTGTGGTGTGTGTGCCACAGGAACGAAAACGAACCACCTACATTGTACAGAGATACTTATGGAGAGACTTCTTGTATAAATACAACCCTCATCCCCATCCCGGCACGTTTTTGCGTCGTATCCGCACACACACACACACACACACACACAACAAACCAACAAACACACACGGATACGAAAGTGTCGTGGTGGTGGTGTGTCTGTTTGTGAAAGGACTTTAACTTCTTGGTCATGTTTTTTTCCACTTTCTGAGGCTCTGCGACTGCGACAGACCCGTTTTCAATGGAAAATGTTCAAGGGTGACAAGGGTAGTTTCTCTTCGACTACACGGCACAAAAATATCCTTGAAATGCATCCCATTCCGGGGCGTTGCATGTATCGAAAGAACCAGATGAACTTGAGTCTACGCGTACATTTAGCCTTCTTTCCTTGATAGCAAACCCACCGAAATCCACCCAAACTTGATTTTCTTAGCCGCACTCCCCCTCCCCCCACAGCAACCCGTCAAACCCTTGAAGTTATGCTATAAATTAACTCGAATTACCAAATACATATGTAGATATGTATGTAAAAAACAAGTTCCTCTTAGGTCCGTTTTCTTCGAGTGTAGAAATAACCGTTTCCAATGCCACTCTGCCGCTCTGCTGCTCCTCCTGTTCCTCCTGTTCCTCCTCGTCCGGCTGTTACCAAGAGAGGGGATGAAAGTCGGTCGGTCGGGTCGGGTCGGTTGATTGGGCGTACGACGTGGATGGCCCCGTCTTGAAGATGGCAACCAGTCGTTCGTCGTTTTATTGCGTTTTCGTTTTGGTTTTTCCATCCACAAAAAGCCGCTAGCTAGCGCACTGCAGGAGCAGGAGCAGGAACAGTGGGGGTAGTGCGAGTGGAAGGGGGATGGTAGAGGTGGGTTTTTTGGTGGTGGTGGTGGTGGGGTCGGAAAACCGGGAAAATGCTAGAACTACGCAATGAGATTTGAGATTGCTGCACAGTGCTAGTATATGGGGGTGGGTTGAGTTCAGTTCAGTTCCTTTTCAGACTCTCCCGTTTTCCTGTTTCTTGCTGTTTTTCTTTTTGGGGGATGGTGGGGTCTGGTCTCCTTTATTTGGGTTACCAAGCATGCAAACACAGAGTGTGAGTAGGAGTAGCAGTAGGAGGAACTTTGGATTACGGGAGTACAGCCAGGACTAGACGCAAATCGATAGATTGCGCGCCATTTTGGGACTGCTGCAGGACAAAAGGGCCCATAAATAGGGATATGCATGGCGAATTTTAAATTGTAAATTCGAATTCCTGGATTCGTGCCGACAGCGGGATATCTCATATTGGGCCAGCTCAAATGTACACACACATACACACATACATACATATGCATGTATGTATCTTAAGGATGAACGGCAAGCAAAACCAAATCTGACCTGCTGCTGCTGTAGATCGCGCCACACATCTGCTCGGGTCTCGTTTTACGAATTTGGGACGGCACAGGGGAAAAGGGATCAGGGATCAGCGCCTTGTAAGTAGGCACAATAGGGACGGGCAGCAAAGGAAAATCGAAGATGGAAAAGGCTGAGTTTTTCCGGGCTACCTAAGCCGGCAGGCCCAGACCCTGCGTTGCAGCTGCAACGCAGCAATCCTCAAGGTTGGCTTGCCTTTCTTAGGACTACTTAATGCACGTCAGCGGCTGTGGACAAATTAGTTCGTTGCCTCTTCCCGTCTCCTGACAACGTCTCGCGCGTTCCAAACGCAGTTAGAAACCGAATTCAGCACTATCATATCTGTCACATAGAAACGTCAAACGTCTAGGAAATTCAATTAAATTTTCTCATCTCGCGACGATATTTGCAGCGTCAAAGTGTCACTCATCTGCTGCTAAGGGCCACGCCTGAAACTACGACTGCGACCACGACTACGACTACGCTTGTGCTAGAAAAGTGATCTCAAAACCAATCTTATGATGGAACTCTTGTCAAACAATTCGGTTCCGCAACAAATGGCCAGCAGCAATACGGCCAGCGCCAACGGTGTTGCCTCCTCGAATGCCATCGGCAGCGGGGGCAGTGTCAGCAGCAATGCCAGCAACTCATCAGAGCGCCTCCTGGCAGGCATACTGGAGTCGTTCCCCGCCTGGGACCTCAACGTGGGACTACTGCCCAATGTGGGCCAGAGGTAAGTGCCCCTTGCCATAGAAAAGTAGTTGCAGTAGTAACCGTCTATCCTGTTTTTTTTGTTTTTGCAGCTCGCCACCTCGCACGGACTTCTTTATCAACAACTTTCTTGGCGGACTGGACACACATGGCGACTTCAGCATCGGACCCATTGGAAGTGGGCCGCGCAGCAACCCGAAGATGTCGCCAGAGTCTTCCAACAACTCGAGCATCAGCTGCGGCTGGTGCGAGGTGAGCGCCTCCATACGCTGCCTCGAGTGCAACGAGTTCATGTGCAACGACTGCCTGAGGGAGCATCGCAACAGTCCGCTCTCCTCGAACCACTCGATCGTGTCGCTGCCGACGCCCATCGGTGCCTCGCCCACAGGCGGCAGCTCGACCAACGCCCACACGCCGCCCAGCTCCAACTTCATCTGCGACATTCACAACGAGATGCTGCGGTACGTGTGCGATTACTGCCGTAAGCTGGTGTGCCAGTGCTGCACCCTGCACGAGCACAAGGAGCACAGCTACGCATCCATACAGAGTTTCATGGTCGGCTCCAAGGAGAAGCTGGACGGGGCCATCGAGAGCAGCCAGGTGGGGACACGCTGCATCAAAAGCAGCATTGACAAGGCCCTCGCCTTCATCCGGCTCATTGAGCGCAACTGCAGCGAGCTGAGCGACAACATACGGAAGGCCTTCCGTCAGTTCATCATTGCCATCGAGGACCGAGAGCGCTTCCTGCTCGACTTTGTGGAGAAGCTGCGCCTGCGCCGCCTGGCCATCCTCCACGACCAGATGGCGGGCCTGAAGTCCGCCCTGGCCGGCCTATCCGAGACCTCCGATATGCTCAGCAAAGTGGCGGACAACGCACTGAGCATGGACCAGATCGAGATCGCCATGAAGCTCACCAACGGACAGCGCCAGATGGAGCAGTTCGCCGGCATCTACAAGGACCTGCAGCCCAAGCAGGAGGTCTTCGCTTTTGCCCCACCCGACTACAGTCTGCTGCAGGATATCCGAAACCAGGGCGGCGTCATACTGGTCGACGACAAGAACCTGCCCATCGTCACCAGCACCAGCGGCATCGTGCCCAGCGTCTCCAATGTTAACGCCGTCACCGCCGCATCCGTGGGCATCGGAGGAGTCGGAGCTGGAGTTGGTGTTGGCGTCAATGTCGGTGTCGGTGTCAATGTCGGCGTCGGTGTCGGTGTCGGTGGCAGTGTTGGTGTCGGTGTCGGTGTGGGTCCTGGCAGTGGAATGGACTTGGCCTTTGGCATCGGCAGCATTGCCAACAATCCGCTGAGCGTGGCCTCCTCGAGTGTGCGTCGTCCCTTGCTGCGGGACAATAGCTTCCGCATACCGTCGCCCATAATGCAGCCGCGTGGCGGCAGTGCCTGTGGCATGTCCAGCGCAGCCCTGGACTGGGAGCTGAACGGACTGCGAAGCTCGCCAGGCCTTCACTTCAGCGCTCCTCGGACGACGCAGGCCATTCCCGGCTGTATGGATCTGGTAAAGGTGCGCAACTCCAACTCGCTGTCGCTGTCATTTGCCACCGAAGGCCACGAGGATGGGCAGGTGAGCCGGCCGTGGGGCCTATGCGTGGACAAGATGGGCCATGTTCTGGTGTCGGATCGCCGCAACAACCGTGTGCAGGTCTTCAATCCCGACGGCTCGCTCAAGTTCAAGTTCGGACGCAAGGGCGTGGGCAACGGCGAGTTCGATCTGCCGGCCGGCATCTGTGTGGACGTGGACAATCGCATCATTGTGGTGGACAAGGACAACCATCGCGTGCAGATTTTCACGGCCAGCGGCGTCTTCCTGCTCAAGTTCGGCAGCTATGGCAAGGAGTACGGCCAGTTCCAGTATCCGTGGGATGTGGCAGTAAACTCGCGTCGCCAGATCGTTGTCACCGACTCGCGCAACCATCGCATCCAGCAGTTCGACTCCGAGGGACGCTTCATACGCCAGATTGTGTTCGACAACCATGGCCAGACGAAGGGCATCGCCTCGCCCCGCGGTGTCTGCTATACGCCCACGGGGAACATCATTGTCTCCGACTTTGACAACCATTGCCTCTATCTAATCGATCCCGACATCAATGACGTGAGTACCCTACCTACCCATGAGCTACAGCATATAGAAATGAATATTCATGATTTGCTCTTCTACAGATTCTGTCCGTGAAGGGACACGAGGGCTCGGGCTTCCATGAGTTTAATAGGCCATCGGGCCTGTGCTGTGACGACGAGGGCCGCATTATAGTGGCCGATTCCAAGAATCAACGCATCCTGGTCTTCAATCAAAATCTTGACTTTATGTGGGATGTAAGTGGCTATCCAATCGAATCCAATCCAGTGATCCACTGGCCTCCTTGCTTTGGAATGTATGTATAACTTTTTGTTTATCTATCTTGTTTGCAGATCGAGGTGCGACCCTCAATCAATCCGCTAATGCCACCGACGCTGGACGAGAAGGATCGAACGTGCGATGTGGCCATGATGCCAGACGGTCGCATCGTATTCCTCATAGAACTGTCGCCAGACTCCAAGGAAGGGTCTAACCCTTACAAGCGGTTTGTGCACGTATTCTAAATAAGCTTATAGCCGTCAACTGGACTGGTAGGGGAACACGAATACGAATACCAATCTTTTTTTTAGACCATTTACAAGAGCTAAACGTTAGCGTAGTAGAGACATCCAATACAACAGAAACAAAAAACAAAACAAAGAACAAAAAAACAAAAACAAAAACTAAATCTAAAAAAGTATAAAAGAAAATCTGAATTGAGAGAAAGGAAAAATTAGAAAAAATTTTTAGCATAAGTGCTACAACGATTACCTCGATAATGCTTAAGAGTTATGGTTACGATTTGGTAATTTACAAAATACAATACGAATTACACATATGTATACCGATATAGATATCTGTATATCTGTATGCGTATATATGCGTATATGTATCTAGCGAATATACAAAAACCCGACCCAAACCAACCAAAACCAACCCAACCCAACAAACCAATTAGGTCTAAAGCAAAAACCAACAGCAACAGAAAATGGGCAGGACATAGGACATACATAGCAGATATATGTATGTATAATTATTTGGTGAAGGATCCGTGGCTTTCAGTAAAGTAGACTTTAGAGAACCGAACCTAGTAAAAGATAATGAGAGCAGATGAGAGCAGAGCAGAGCAGTGCAGGAGGACACAACAATAAGGATTACTAGATGCAAATATTACTACCTGTTAGTTAGACTGAAAAGCAGTTCTCTAGCTGGTCGAGGGAGGAATCGAATCGAATCGAATCGGATCGAATGGAGAAGGGGAAGTGCGTTTTTATCGGGGGTTGCTTAGCTGAACTAGAACTATTAAATAAGATTTTTGATTTCTACAAGAGAGTTACTGCAAAATAATTTTCAGACAAATTGTTTAGTATGGTATTAATGTTTGTATTATTAACTTAATTCGTTTAGTTCCGTTTAGAGCTACATATGTATTTTTTCATTTATAGTGCATACATGCATACATAGGTTTTTTAACAATTTTTTTTTTGATTATTTTACCAATAATTTTCTTATAATTGAGACTGAGCAAGTGAGTACACGAAACTTTGTTAAACGAAACAAAGTAAAACAAAGCAAAGCAAAACAAAACAAAACAAATCGAGAAGAAAAGAAAAACATGAACAAAAACAAATATTAAGGAAACCCGCTGACTTTTTGGTTGAACTTTTAACAAAGACTGATTAACTAAACCGCAATTTCGGAGCCAACTGAAGAACCATATATGGTGAGGCCAAAAAAAATGTGAAATGAAAATCACAAAAACACACACAGAGACAAATTGCAATGACATTGATAACGTAAAGTAACTTAACTTAGCATAACACTTCATACATACATACATACATACATATATATATATATATATATATATATAGTGAGAGAGATCCACATCCAGTCACGGTCCAGCATCATGAATCATTATAGGCATAGCTAAACCGAGTTTAACTGACATTCACCTACATACACACATATGTACATTACAAACATTCATTTCATCCTACATTCATCACAGGGATTTGGGATTGTAATGGATTGTAATGATTCCCCCCACCCCCCACAGGGTACAGTACACACACAGCAGCAGCAAAGCAGGCTGATAGGAAAGGTGTTAGAGTTAGCTAAAGGAATGATGATAAAACATGACAAGAGGCGGGAGGGAGGGGTTGCTTGCAGAAGAGATGGAAACAACAAAATGAAAAAAAATTATCATAATTTTTGACTCAATGTGTTCATTAGCATTTAGTAGATTTAGCAGGCGTGACGTAGGGGCGGCATACATATGTAAAATCCAGAGCAATATATGGGCGTATTGAATACACATTTAGGTGACATGTTCCTCGCAGAAAACAAAACATAACAAGAAAACAAAATGAAACTCAATTGAAAGCTTAAGGAAAGGGAAACCCAGAAGAGAAGGTAAATGCATGGATTAGCTGAATTATGTGTCGAGATGAGCAGAGATTTTAATAGCAAATATATAGTACACAGATAGAACCGACTAGAACCGATCCTAGGTGGGCCTGGATCTATACCCGGCACCTGGCATAAGTTGCAATGCGTGATTAGAAAGGCGCTTAAAATGTATTAGCCAACTTAGTTACTTAGTTTATTTTTATGTTCTCAATGTTTAAAAACGTTCTATTCTATTATATTTGTGTTTTAACCCGGATTCAGAACCTGATCAAACCAGAGCGAAAGCGAGAGACAGATAGAGAGAGAGAGAGAGAGAGAGTGAGAGTGAGAGTGAGAGAGTGTGAACGAGATAGTACCAGAATGTGTGCAAGGGAGAGATATATAGCTAACACTCCTTCCACGTATAAAGCAACATTGCATAAAATGCGCAAAACAAACAAACAAGAGAAAACCCTAAAAAAAACCTTTAAAAAAATCCCTAAAAAAATACACCTAAAAATAAAAATTAAAAATTAAAAAAATGATGGAAAAATGCCAGATTTGCTCTACGAGAGGAAAGGCAACAAAAAACATATACTTATACAATATTTATACATATACAATACATATATACACGACAGAACAAAGGGAAACCTATTATATAGAGCTATATAGAATAGAAATCGTAATTATTTTACACCTTAGTTTAGGCAGCCCCCTCGAGAGCCCCACACGAAATTGCCATAACAAAACATAACTGAACATAACCATGACACAACCTCACCTCATTTTATTCAATCGTACATACCTTGACGCGCCGTTCATTTCTTGTGATCCAGATCGAATCGAATCATTCAAACCAATCACACTCGCCCACACAAAAACCAAAACTCACGCTCACGCCAGACCATACCAACAACATACATACATATGTATGTATATACTATATACATACCATACATATAGTATACCGTACTGTCTAGCGACGTCTAGCGATGAGAATGCCATATTTTATACTATTTGTGTGAGGTTTACTAAAACAAATACTAAAGAACAAATACTTATATCATTACAAATGAGCGCCGTTTTCTAAAAGCCACAGTTTAGAAATTGTGTAAAAAATACAAAAAGAAATTGCACTAAAAAACAAAACGAACCGAATAAGGAATCCAATTATTGAGATGTAAGCGAATGCAGAATGCCATAATTTAAAATAAAAAGCATTTAAACATATACATATATACTATATCTATAGAGTACTCACTCGTACTAAAGTATGTTAAACAGAAAACGAAGAGAATACTAAAAGTCATGAGAATACTGAACAATTTGCCAAAGGCTTAAGAATCAAAACGAAAGAGCGTAACAAGTAATACATACATACATAAAAGTACTATATATACACACACACACAGCCACACACATACAACAAGAGCCTACGCATAAATAGTTAATTACAATTTTTACAACATACATACCAAAAAAAAAAAACAAAACTACATTTAACTTGCAGTCAGGTATTTTATTTTGTCACATAAAAACGCCCCATATAAAAAAAATAATAATAATAATAACAAACCAGGTTGCCCAAACCAATACCAACACCACTACCTACAACTACTTCTCTTGTAAAGCAAAACAACAAAAATTGCTCATATATGTACATCATACACGTAGCCACTTACTAAACTAAAGTATATGTTGTATACTGTATACTAAAAACGAATCCAAAACTTAAATCAGGTATTCAATTTTTTTGGTATTACGTACATACATACATACATATGTATTTAGCATTTAAGAACAGCGAAACTCAAAACAAATGACTCCAATGACTAAGGATCCTTCGATATGTGCGGCCAAGCGAAACACCGACCGCTAGACGATTAAAAAAAAAAAACAAATGCAAAGAGGAGGGTGGAGCACAAAAGAAGAATTCAAAACGAAAACATATTTATAAAGAACAACCTTTTATAACAAATCGATTGAGAAATCGATGCTAAAGCAACAAAAAATGAAATGAACTCTTATATCAAAATACAATTTTGAGTCAAATTTTTTAATGACAATGCCATGTTCGGTTAGCGCAGAGAAATGATTTCGTAACTATAATTAAATCAATCTACTTATATAATACCACATACATATATTATGTATATCGTATACATAAATACATACTTGCGTGCATACATAGTACATACATATATTTTGACAAGATCATTTAGCAATTAAGTTTGTAACAAACTTCGAACATGCAAAACGAAACACAAACAAAAAAAAAATCCACAATATTGTATCTAAAATCGAAAACATTTCTTATTTGGCAATACAAAATTAATTTTACTTTAATAATAGATTTCCAAAATTCGAATTATACATACATACATACATACATAAATACATAAATACTAACATATGTTATAATTATGGAGCAATTGAGTACAAAACGAGTACAAATTTAAACTTTAAGCCAGACAGATCAGACCAGACAAGACTGGACTAGACGAGACATAACGCAACTCAACGCTACGAGACTATGTCACAGTTAAACTTTAGTATAAAGCATTAAACTTAAAATGAAAACAGACCAGAACAGAAGTGAACAGAAACAGAACAGAACTGAAGGCACACAGGAAGAGAGCAGAACGAACAGAATCGAACAAGAAACATAAGATAAGCCAGATACTGGTTTCGCATACGAAATACTAATTAAATGCATACATACGAGTATATAGGAAGGGTACTAGATAGTAGATATGATCAGGATCAGGATCAAATTCTCTGCAACTTCTTTTCAGAGAAGATCTACACCAAAATCGATGCGATAGCTAAGCGTGAACATACTAACCACATACATAAATACATATGCATATAATACTTACATACATAGTTACTTAAACATAGACTAAACCGAATATGCATACATACTAAATCTAGAGCAAACGATAAAACGAGAAAACGATTACCAAAAATCCCTCCTTAAACCTTTTTAAATATGATTTGCTTCGCGATAGAGAAAACAAAGATGCAAAACATACACAATTTCTCATACATTCTCACCCATAGCATGCATACATAAATGCATGTACTAGGTACATGCATACATACATACACAAATAATTATATAGTCGTGTATATATATCGTACATACATACATATATATATACACATTATAAGCAGATAACTAAGCCGCAAGGCGAAAAAGTCTAAAGAAAATCTACCAAAATCAAGCAAGCGACAGATTGTAATACAATAAAAGAGTTGCAGTTAAAAATTGTAATTGTCTAATAGTGAAAAGCGGAAACGGAAACAACAATACCATATGTGTACATCATGGATTGTCATTTTTCTATATACACGCATACACATACATATTTATATACCTATAAATACATATATGTATATATATATTATATACATACATAGATGTGGGCAAGACAAGAGTAAGAGTATATTTTATACGATAAACAAATTTTATAACATATTTAATAATAAATTATACACTAATAATTGTGGACATCTCCTGTGTTCTTTACTTCTTTTCCTGGATTGGATTCGATGAACTGTCTTGTGGGAGTTTTAGCTAAAATAGTTTGCAAAAACCTTCGAATATAGTATATAGTTATATATAGTATAGAATTCCAAGATGTCGTACCGCATTATCAGCGTTCCAGATATTTTTTCTTATTTTTTTTTCAGTTCCTTTACTGTTCAATATGCAGCACAGCTAACAATGCCCTACCTAGGTAGACGTTTTCAACTAATTCAACATGCCATTAACGTGTCAATCAACTGTTTTGCAACAGCACCAATTCGTCTTTATGCTTCGGTTACGTATGTTCCAGGAGTTCTCATCAAAATTGGGCAAATTCCCCAACCAGAGCGTAGGTCAAAGCTGGTTACGTTTCATTATATGTACATTGTACATATGTACTGTACCTACTACGAGTATTCACATTCGTCGCAAAAACAAGATGTTGTCATTGTCAAATATGAGCTGAAAGGCCATTAGAATATCAAAAGGAATACGCTAAGCACTCGTGCATAATGAGATTTGTATGAAGCCTGAATAAAGCCGAATGTTGTTCGCGTCAATTGTCACTGCACTGGGCGAAAAAAATGTGAGCAGCGGGAGTAAGTACTGTGCTGCAGTACGTTCAATTCGAGATTTGGCCATTGCGTGTCTTGAAATTTGTTGGGCGCTTCATTTGGACATACTTCAATTCACTTTTCCGTTTCCATATGCTTTGTTGGGGCATAAAGTTGAGCAAACTGAGCCAAAGTCCAGATCCATTATAATATAAATATGTATCTATTTATGGCGAGAAGGGGTAATTAATAAAAACTCGTACTTTTAGAATCCAGCTCGATGTTGTCTAAGATTATAGCAATTTGTGAGCTCCCTGGCGGGGAGCACGCTAATCTTGATCTCGGGCAGCGGCAGATGGCCTCCGATTCCGGCTTTCATGGTCAGTGCTTGCTGTCAGATGCGACGCCTTATATGAGTAGCACTCAAATAGAAATACACTTTTATCCGTAACCGGTTATTTGTTGGTTTTACAATTTACCAGTCACTCGGTTTGCTGTTACGGGGAGAGCAAACAAATGATTGTCGAAGGGATGGATGATCTTTGGCCCACCTTCAGCACTCCTCCTCTTGTAGCAAATTTTTTTTTGGAGATCGTATCATTTGTGTTCCCATCAATCATCATCAGCTTTCGTCATTTAATTAGCTGCGCCCTATGCGCCCTAAGAATCAATCAAATTAAAGTTGTGGTCTCTTGAGAAAACAAAGATCCAAAGTAAACTGGAAAACGCCACCATAAACTCCCATTTGCATTCGCACTCCTAGCTAACTCTGAGACAGCCACTGTGCACAGAGTACGGTACGGGTTAGATTGGATAATTTAGCTGGTCTCCCGACTCACGCCAGAGCCGACCGGGCGCATACGTGTTTTGAACGTGGCCGCGTCAAGTGAATCTATGAGTATTTGAATCCGATTGCGCGTCTCTCATCTCCATCGCTATCGCCTGGACGGGTGCGTGCTTTAAAGATTTCAATACGGTTGGTTTCGAACCACTTTTATTTTTCAGTTGCGGGCGTCAGTGTGGGCCACGAAGGCGACAGGTTGCGCATACAAATAGAAACGGGGAGCCAGAGTCTAATTAAAGCAAGCTCCATGTAAGCCAGCACACAGCACTACGCGAAGCCGAACCGAACAGTTGGCGAGTGCAATGGTACGGCACAAAACCGATACCACCAGCTCTGTCCAGGGGGTCTGCGGAACAATTTCTGGGAGTACGGACTCAGTTTATGATTGGCCTTTGCTTTGGCTGTTATCGTGCGCGCAGATTTCACACAGATTAAGCCAATTTCCAAGTACCGGACGCATATTATTTAATCTTCTGACGACTAGTAAATTGACTTGACAAGGGGGGGCCTGCAAACGGGTACGAACTCTGGGCGGGGCAGCCTTGGCTATTAGCCAACACACAGAGTTGACAATTAAGTGGCCCGAGATGCTGCAACGAAAGTGAAACTGGAACTAAAACTATAACTAAAACTAGTATACAATTTTGTACATATACTCCGCATGTTGTGCGATTATGTTGTCATGCAGAAACGTGATCCGAGACTCAATGAAAGTGGCAAATACGCGCAGTAGTGCTAAATGCGTGCCGTTCCGTTCATTACTGGACTGGCTTGGCTATTGGGCAATATCTTAACAAGGGCTAAATGACATTTTCGTGTGGCTCGGAGTGTGCCATGTTTGAACTTGAAATTGATTGTAGGGTTTTGATACTCTTATACTACCATAAAATATAAATTATATATACTTATATGCACAGTGCACTTGGATTATCTCGAAACTGAGCCAGGGAACCGTATCACATGTGACAACGAGGGCTAAACCTTATTCGAGGTCCTGCAATTCCTCGGAATATGTGCCCCTTTAATTGATTTTCCCATTACCGTCAGTGGTCGCTAACTAATACTTTCAATCCTTGCCACTGTAACAATACCAACAGACTTCCAGATTTAATAACTGTAACACAACAATAATGGGGTACAATGTGACAAAGCCATCTGACAGCGGCACCGGCCAATCTAATGGTAAGCAATTACTTTGTTCAGCGAAATTTAACATTCATATTGATTACCCATTGTAGCTGCCAGCGAACGGACGATATCGACGGTGATTGACATTGGTAAGTCTGACTGATGGTTAAACATCGCAGTAGGAT